AAATTAATAGTTTTTTTTTTTTTTTTGTTTTATGTATTATCAATACATTATTGTTTTGAGAAAAACATAACCGCCGTTTATCATGTTACGTAATTCTTATCAGTTATGATAATAAAATTATGAATTTATTATTTACGTGTACTTTTGGGGTCATCACTCGTTTCGTTATACATTTGAAAAAAAAAAATTTTTTTATACTTATTTTTATATATTTACAATTTTTTTTCCTTTTTTTTTTTTTTAGTCTAATAGAAACAAAAAAAAATTATTATTATTCGATTGTTTTAAAGGTTTTTTTTTATAAAAGCCGAAAATCAGGTTTTTTTTCTTTTTAAATCCGGAAATGGATAAAACCCTTTTTTTCGTTTGTTTAACTTCTTAAACGTTTTCTTGTTTGTTATGAAAACCCATCAAATCAAAATTTTTTTTTGCCATTGTGTTTTTTAATATTCGTTTCTTTTGTTTGTTTGTTTGTTTGTTTTTAAATAATTAATTTTTAAAATCATGGCAAATTTTTTTCATAAAAAAAAAACCTTTTTACATTTTTTTTTTTTTTTTTTGGTACCTGATTTTCCTCTGCCTTCCCATTTCTTCTCCCTTACATATAAAAAAATCTTATAAACAATATAACAAATATGAAACAATAATAATTATGACGTCACAAAATCAATATATAACATTCGATCACTTTTTTTGCTTTCGAAAAAAAAAAAATTATTAATTGAATCGGGGTGAGATGAGAAGGCGGGGTGTGGGGGGGGGGGTGAATAAAAAAGTTTATTTCGTTTGTACCCACATTTTGTTTTTTTCTATGTTTTTCTAGGTTTTTCGAGAACTTTTTTTTTTTTTAAAAAAAATTTTTTTTTAATGGCTTTTTATCTCCTGCGTGCAAGTCCGGCTTGTTTCAACAATTTAATAACTTCCAATCTTGGTATTTTTTCAGCTTCCCTATTTGCTACATGTTCTTCTCCTGGACCGAACCTGAAAACGGGAAAAAAATATTTTTATTGTTGTTTGTAAAGTTAACAAAAAAGAAAAATCAAACTCCTTTCTTTTTTTTTTATTAAAAGGAATAAATTAGGACGATACCCTCGGGATAAATAATAAAAAAAAAAAAAAAATAAGGTCGACCGATCCCCAACAGGGTTGGAACCGCAACTTTTTTTTTTTTTTTTTTTTGTTTATTTTATGGGACAGTCTAGGACATTTAAGTTAAAAAATTTTTCACGATTCGGTGATGGAGATTTAGTTATATACATACCAACTTTCCTTAGCCAAGGCTTCGGCAATTCTTGGATTTTTATAAAATGGATTGAGCAATTCTTGTGGGAGCCTGGCTTCGTGTTCGGCGTTAAGAACAACATCTTTGTGGGCGAGACCTTTGTTCGTGTGTATTGGCTCCTGTAAAATGTTTTTTTTTTCCTTAAAATTTTTTTGTTTTTTTTGTTAACACCTAATTTACATTCGTACGCGATTCGTTTTGCACTATTTTTTTTTTTTTTAATGTGATTTTTATCTACTTTTTAACCGGTTTTTAAAATAGAAGGCTACTAAAAAGGGCTAAGGCTTGGCTAAAAAAAAAAAAAAAACAACAAACGACACCACGCATTGTTTCGCCTTGAATTTTTTATTTGTTATGTTTGTCGTATTTTCCTTGAAACGTTTTCGTTCCCGAATGATTTTCTTCTTTCTTTTTCTCGTTTGTTACTTTTTTTTAAACTCGATACTCATGTTGGTTTTTTAAATTGTATGTGTCACGTGTCTCGTTGTTAAATATGAAAAAAAAAGGTTAATTTTTTTTCCCCTTTAAATCAATCAAATCACGTTCGAGATCTTAGCGATAAATTTATTTATTAAATTTAATACGGCTTCCTCATTGATGAAATAGGAATAAAAAATATAAATTTATTACTTGAAATTATAATAATAATAATATTATTATTATTTTTCTTAACTTTAAGTTAATCAAATTTATTACGAAGGTTATTAAATGTCAGTATGAATCTATCTTGTTGTAATTTTTTTTTATATTTTTTTTTATTTTTTGCTAAAATCATTGAAAGTAGAAAGTATATATATATATATATATATATTTAAATAAAATTATATAATTACGTGATGATAAGTTGGCAAAAAGGTATCAGCAGTCAGCGGTGGTGGTTGTATGGCAAATGACAAAGTTTGAGCCGGATACGTTTCTATAAATAAGGCGGAAGTTGCTCCGACCAAGAAAACGAGAATCGCAAGTGAATATTTCATTTTTGAAAAAATCCTGTAAATAAAAAAAAAAATTAAATCAACCTTTTCTCTCTTTCTTTCTCTCTCTCTTTCTTTTTCTCTTTCTCATCCTGTTTGTGTGTTATGAAAAATTCTATTCTGTACCTACACTCTACTCTCCATATGTTCGTATATTTTATTGATTTTAAAATTGTAACAAATGACTAGAAATTATGCAATTTTGAGACATTTATTATTATTATTTATCATTATCATTATTATTATTATTATTATTATTATTATTATTATTACAGATTAAGGCCTTTTGCGTCATTTAATAATAATATTAATAAAATTGAAAGTAGATTTTTTGTCTGAATTTTTTTTTTTTTTTTTTTTTGCTACGTATGAAATTCTTGAAGAGGAAAAAAAAAAAAAAGAAAAAACATTTTTCTAAACTGGTTTTCCTTTTTTTTTGTTGTTGTTGTTGGCAATAATTGAATTTTTATTCGCAGAAAAGTCTAGAAATATTGTTAAATAAAAACTTTCTAAAAATTTATATATATTTTTCTTTTATAATTTTCTTTTTGATGGGCAAAATCATTTTTTGTTTTGTGCGAATCGTAACACGAATTTTGAGACGAAAAACCGCAAAGTCGTAACGATAATTATCATTATTATTATCATCATTATTATTACTATTATCATATCGTTAATTGTAGAGAAATTGTAACGTGCGCGTTCAGAATTTTTCTTTTTTTTTTTTTACTCTACATTTAAATTACAAAAAAAAAAATTTTATTTAAAATTATGAGAAAATTTTCTACAATAACAACAATCGCTACAAAAAAGTCATCAAGGTAATTTTTTAACCTTCGTAAAATAAAAAAAACTACCGGTCACTCGATAACTACCTTAACTATCATAACACGAACGCCGCTTGTTATGATAACGCTTCGGGCAGGAAAAAAAAAATTTTTTTTTTCTTTTTTTAACACCCAATGATATGAATTTCAAACGGATGTTAAATAATAATAATAATAATAATCAATCATCGTCATCATTTTCTTTACAAATTCAAAAAGAAAAAAAAAAAAAATAATAATGGGGGAAAAAAAAGGAGAAAAAAAAAAAACGAACGCCTCGAGAAAAGTTACTTTTTTTTTTTTAATGTTTCGTTGTTTTCGTTGTTGTTGTTGTGAGCGTGAGTACAAGGTCGATTGTTAGGGTTTTTGTAATTTAAAATAAAATTATAATATAAATAAATAAAAGTATAAATATATATGTATATACTGAAATTAAAGAGTGTAAGTTACGATAAGTATAAAATTACGTCGGGGTTTTAGTTTTTTTTTTTTTAAATTAACGGTTACGAATAAAAAAAAAACATTTTAACGGTCGATTGCGTAACAATAAAAAAAAAGAATTTGGAATCACTCTGAATAAATTATTATAATTATGTTTACATTAACACGAATATAAACACATAAAAATCCTGATCGTGTTAAGAAAAAAAAACGTTTTTTAAATCACGTATACCAAAGCCAAAAACAAACATCGCCAAAAATTTATTACGTAATTATTTTTTATTTTGCGAATTGTAAAAAAAAAAAATTTTATAATATCTTATAATATCACTGTACGCAAATATATATATATATATATAATATACCTGATTCTTTTTAATATTGATAATAATAATAAAAAACAAACGTACCACAAAAAAAATTTTTTTTTTCCACCTCATTCGCGGAAGTTATTTCAACCGACAAGTATTACTCGTATAAAAAAAAAAAAAAAAAAATTAAATAATATTCAAAGCTTTAGGCAATTAGTTTATAGCTGATACTATAATTATAGACTTATTAAAATATATAATATAGAGGTACGTGGCGCGGTGTCTGTGGCGTCTACGGTGGTGGTGGTGGTGGTGGTGGCGGTGGTGCTTTATCACCTTCAAATAATCAAAATGCTAAATTTTTACGTAAATTTAAAATTTCCTGGTTTACGCGCGAAAATTTTCATCCGCATATTCCTCGCATAATTATTATTATTAGTATTAAGGGTAATTTGTGTGTAAAATGTTAAATGAATTTTTCTCGGTATTTTATTTAAATGATGTAACTTTTCAACTTAAAATAATTTTCAGAAAACCCTACCTGAACAACCAACCCTTTCGTTTATAATATATTATTTAATAATATAATTTTATATTATTAAAATTTGAAAAAAAAAAAAAAAATTCATTTTTAATTGTTTAATGGAGACACTAAATATTTTAAAAACGTTAATAATAATAATAATAATGATAATGATAATGATAATGTAAAATAGTATAAATTAATGTTTTGTTATGATTGCGAAATTAAAAAGAAAGAAAAATTATTTACGCGTGTCATTATTTATTTATTTATTTATTTATTCATTTGAATGATAATTAATTTTAATAAGTCCTTTCACGTAAAGTAATTTGTTTCGCGCGTTAATAATAATAATGACATAATTAAAAAAAAAAACAAACGTTTGTTAATAATAAATTTTTATTATTATTATTATTATTTTATTTAACGTCGAATTATGTTACTATTACGTTAATAACTATTTTTATTTATTTATTTATTATTCTTACGAATTATTATTATAAAAATTTTCCAATAAATGAGGGGGAGGAAAACAAACAACAATAAAACACTTTTTAATCACTTTTTTTTGTTGTAAAAAAAAAAACTTTTCAGCAAACAAACACGTAAAAAACACTTTTATGATAACCGAATACAACTGATAAGAACAAATCGAAATCACCTGATTTTTATTTTAAATGATGATGAAAAAAAAAGAAAAAAGAAAAGAAAAAAAGAAAACTTACACCCTGTTCGAACGTGAACACAACAAACAATAAACCTTAAAAAAATCAACCCGTATTCTTTATATAAGTGTGTGATAATAATTCTTCGATTCCAGGTCCCTACTCTAGAAACCTTGAATGGACCTCAAGGTTCGATTCCAGCTCGTTAAAAAAAAAAAAAATTTTTTTTTTTTTCTCTCCAGGTTCTCTCGATACGGTATTTTCGGTTGGTACCGCCTTCGGAAATTCCTCACTAACTCACTCATTTAATAAATAATAATAATTTTTATCCCTTCCATGTTTTTATTTTTCATCTTCTTCCTTTTGTTTTCCCTTTCTCTCTCTCTCTCATTGGGGATTTTTATTCAGTTAAAAAAAAAAAAAAATCACTAAAGTTTATTCTCATGAATTTTTATTATTATTTAAAAACTTCGATAATAAATTTTTTTTTTTAATAATATATTTATATATATGACTTTTCCAGGAAAATTAACCAACTGGAAGGAAATGCGTTTTTTATATTAACGTGTAATATGTTTTCCTGTCGTTTGTTAAAAAAAAAAAAAGTTAAAAATTTATGGTGGTTCATTTTTTTCGTTCCTTTTTTTTTTTTTTTTTTTTTTTTTCTTTTTGTAGTCCGTTTAAAAATTTAAATTTAATGAACGTGAAACCTTTTTTATTATTCGTATATTCCTTTTCAGCAAATTTTTTTTTTTTTTCGTTAACCCAGGAGAAATGCTTTTGTACTAACCTCCCCACCCGGTAGCGGGGAGAGTGTGGGAATCTGTCGAAGCCGCCACCCAACTAAAACTTTTGGACGTGTTTCATAGTGGTCTTTCCCGGAGGGAGGGGCGTTTGCGAGAGTGTAACCTGCATTTCTGCTTTAACACCCACTCGATGAAGATCCCGGAACTTTTTTTTCCTTTTTTTTTTTACCTCTTGAGAGATAGTCTCCAGTTGCTACCGTCTCTCCTGCCTCTTTTAGTAGGTTACGAGTTTCCGGAGAGAAGTTCGGGGTTGCGAATTCCGTTGAGCGTTCATCTGTCCTCCTTTCACGTTGCAGCCCTGCATTTTCTCTTTTTTCGATCGAGTGCCCAAACTCACCCCTCGAACAAGGGTCGGCGGATTCTCAATAGCTCGAAGGGGTGCTAGGGCACTTATTTCTTTACGAAGGTACAGGTCCATTCTTGCTAGGCGAGCTGAAATTGAACTCGCGACTTTTAAGGGCAGATTTTTCCCCTTTTTGGACTCAACCTGGCTACCTCGGGCTCCCCAAGGCATCCAAGTTGAAGCCGAACCCTCAGCGGACACCTAGTCAATGTGGAAAATCCAATCCCGGAATTCCCTCCCATAAAACATCCTCCACTCACCTAGCCTCCGATTAATTGAATTACAGGAATACACCACCCCACTTCCTGTTCAAAAATTTTCCTTCAACCTTTTTTTAATTTTATTATTATTATTATTATTATTTCCTAATTAAAAATAATAAAATATTATGTTAGCAAAAGGGAAATAGAATTTTTTTTTCGTGTTTCAAACCTTTT